GTCTTCAGGTGTTCGACAATCGTTGTCTCAGAACCATAGCTCGTGTGAGTTGGTGTCGGCGAATCCTTAACGAGGCAGTTAGAAAGCGCGCTTTCGGTTGTGTAACGGGTGCTTCCGTTGAAGAATATGTCCAGCACCAGAAGCTGCGTTGGTTGGGACATGTGTTGCGCATGCCGAACCATCATTTGCCGAAGAGAATGCTGTTTTCCATGCCCAACTCAGAGTGGCGTAAACAGAGAGGTGGCCAACCCTTGACTTGGTAAAGGAGTATGAAGGAGATCACGAAAAGCTTGAGTACTGTCTATGCTACTCGCCTTCCAGAATGGAGACCGCGTGATCCTCACTGTACCTGGTTGTAGACACTGCAAGATATGGCTGCCAACCGATGTCAGTGGTGTTCTTGTTGTCAGTTTCTATCCAGATTTCCTGAGTGAATGTTTGGAGGTGTAAGCACCTCGGAATGATTGTGGTAAGCTAACACTAAGTCCCTTCCCAGTCCGGCTTTATTCTTTTCTTCACAATAAGGCTTTCAAATAAATCATGGTTGTATGGCAATGAAGCATCGGTGTTGAACACTGATTTCATGCTGTCGATGATGATGATGATGATGTTGATGATGATGAGAATGGGTCTCTACACGTTTTGACGAAGCCGGACGACGTATATTGACGCACCATTTTTCACTCGTGGACAAGCGGGTGGATTTCTCTAACCGTGACTGAAGAGCTAATCAACAGCGTCAGTACAACCACTTTGACCTAAAAGCTGAAAGAAATACCGGTGGAATCCCCACTATCGATTGAAAGCGCTTAGAACAGTCGTTCTGATCGTTTAGAACCATTCCTCGTTCCTCACCTACTGTGATCGCGTATGGTCTCGCACGTCTGGACTGTCTACGGTCCTGAACGAGGGTAAATCCAGTTTTGAGTAACGTCGTCATACTAGGTTGTCACCTTTCCTCGTATTTATTTGCCAGTTAAGCAGTGTGTGATGTCGCAAACGTTTACTGGATCCCATACTTATTTTTGTGTTTGTATATTTTTCCGCGGGTTTCTTAGGCACCAGTGTGACAACCAAACGTTTCCTGTTAGTCTACAGATGTTCTGAGACAAACGTTTATACGAGTGCCATGCACAGTGAGCAGTTTCACCAGTTGGGTCAGTAGTGGGAATCTTTCAACAGCCTTTTCTCAGCTACGCCTATTGTAAAGCCCACACAGTTTAGGTGTAAGCTGAAAGGCTAGCAAAAGTAAAAAACGGCAACCTTCGGCCATACAACTGGAGAAATCTAAATCTAAATATATCCCTCGCCTCGCTCTGCAACGTTTTTCTTGATGGTTCATCAGCTTGACTTGAGATCTAAATCTGCTATAGATTTGATCCTGGAAGTTTGCCCTCGCCAGTGCTTGAAAGTTCAACTGGACCGGCTTTGTTGTGCCCAGTTATCACTATCCGCGAAATTGCTACCAGGGTGGAAACAAAAAAATGTATTGTACGGTTAGTCACTACAGTTCTAAACTATTTTGACACACAAAATATTTATATCTAAACCGTACTGCAACAAAGAACACCAAAATAGGCAAAACGCACTGGCAACACATGATCATCATCATCATCATCATCATCATCATCATCATCATCATCATCATCATCATCATCATCATCATCATCCTCAGCAATCGACTGAAGCCGATACTCCGTATTACCTACGTTGCAAGCGCGGACAAGGAAAGGGCCACGCTGTTGTATTCTCAATTACTTAGTCAAAATACCTTGGCATCCAAAACACCCTCACAAGAGGCGGTGGGAATAATTTTGACCACCGAATTAGTCTACATGGATCACATAGCCAGCATCGTGAAATTCAGTTTGAAAAGGTCGGATGCGGCTGTTCCCTCTCACCATTCCTATTCATATTTGTTATTGAGATACCACTTGAAATTTATCTGTCTACTATCTGAAACCTCGGTGATGCCGGCGGAGGGGTCCCGCAAACACACACTGCTATCCTTGGTTCCAAAGGTGCAGTTTGGAATTCATCTCAAATACCTTGAATAACTCTGTCGCACGATTTGATGCGTGTTATTCACACATGTAAAGTGCATATTCCTTCTGCGAGAGTGGGTGGGATTAAACCCCGTAACTTGCAGGCCAGCCAGTCGCACTAGTGGATATATACATTCTGATAGAAGGGTTGGAGATCAAATTACTTTTCAAATCAGTAAGGTCAAAGCAGCCGGCATTTTGTCCAATTTTAAGTACAGGCTATACTAATTTATGAAAAGAAATTTGAAATTTCCGCGCAGATCGTGTAGCAAGACCCAAGTGTTTGGTCAGTCTATACCCCGAAGCGTTGACCAAAAATGATGGTGGAATCATCTCCAGCAATCTCTTCATTTATCCGGTAACCGAAACTATGGCGACTTAAACCAATGTACCATTGAGACATGAATTGTAGCTGATAAACTGACTGAATGCCAGACATCATAATCCCGAATTATCACCTCATCACATGTATATTTGTAATGCACTACTCATAAGGTTCCTGAAAATTCGCCGACAGCCTACGACCGGTTTCACCTTTTTGGGGTTCATCAGGTAGGCGCAGTCCCTGAGTTTCCGTCAACGTTATGTTCCACTTGAGACCGAATTGCACGAAATTCGCGAGTATACACTAATTTACAAGCTGATTTGGTTTTTCGAACGACTCACCTGGAAACCAGCTGAATCTCTCGTTTGTGATGTATCCAGGCAACTGAATGTGCTGCACACAGGCCGCCTCATGTTTCAGTCGCTACGATATTCCTGATATCGCGGTACATTCATATTTGTAATGCACTACTCACAAGGTTGCTGAAAATTCGTCGATATCTCGAAGATCTCAGCGACTGAAACATGAGGCGGCCTGTGTGCAGCACATTCAGTTGCTTGGAGACATCACAAACGAGAAATTCAGCTGGGTCTCTCGAAAAACCAAATCAGTTTGCAGATGGGTGTATACCACCTCATCATCTCTAGTTAAAGGTGCCTACTGGTCAACTACAACTTTCTACGGGCGAAAACAACCAATTGACTTGTTATCCTTCGGTCGACTGTCAACTGTGAGGCGCCTCCAGCCTGATTTAAAGGCCCAGCCATTAAATGGGACATCACTGTGACAAGTCAGTTCAAACGGTGGTTTTGCGTACTCTAACCCCTCATATTTTGAGTCGTGATCTGTGGGTGTTTAGGCAACCATTATTGCACCTGCTGAGCATTATGTGACGTTAACATCTGTCAATCAAATGACAAGCGACTGTATTTAAATGTGCGAACCCAGAATATATGAATTTCAATCCAAAACTTGGCAGTTTCATTCGAAATTTTACCTGTGACTTGTGGCTGCAAATCATCACTTTCGTGGTTCGCACTCATGAATGCAGTCGGTAGTTGGCCGACAACTTGCTGAGTAGGCGCATCAATGACTAGGCACCCACCGGTCGCGACCCACAATAGAAGGTCGGATAACCCAAAACCACCGGTTGAACTGACTTGTTACAAACACAATTGGAGCGGAGAAACAAGCCGTGACGTCATTCAGACTGTCATAGTTGAGGTGGAGTTTGATACACGAGCGTTGGTT